AACAGATTCTCGGAGAATGTCTTTCAATCGAAACCCAATGAGTCAGACGTCGTCTCCTATGAGACAATCCAAGTCATCGCTGTCTATGACTTCACAATCGCATCGAAACCCAAACCAAAAGTAAGTTTAGAAATGTTTCCTAAAACCACTTTTGGCTCCAAATTACTGTCATATTCAGAGACCGTAATCCAGTAATCATTGAAATTAATGTTATATTCATTGGTCACAATTTGCCATTCATTTATGCACCATTTGCTCGCTGTTTAATCAACTAAATACTTACACAATACTGAATATTCTGTTCATTTATTGTCTAACAGTTACCGTATACTGTATCTCAAAGAATATTTATCCGTTATAAGTTAAATGTATAGTTACAGGTACAGAATATGGAGTATAATGTTCTTAATTAAGTAAATAAACAAATATTTGTTTGTTATAATCACATTATAATTAGTGGCAATGGGGTGAGAATAGGGGAAGTATTTAATATACAAATCTATACTGGAGTCACACATTTGTACACTTTTAATTAGTGTAACTGCCACTCACTGTATATTCCTAGACTCATAGACTCCTCGAGTGATTATGCAATTTCTAATACAGTACAATACAATACAATACAGTACAGTACAGTACAGTACCAGACGAAATGCATTTATTATAATCTACTCACAAGTAATTTATTTGATAAGTTGGTGTTCATATGTGAATGTTTCGCTCAATGAACGTATATTTAAAATTGAATCTAAATGAGTTACCGTATCGTACCATTACTTTAATATGAATTATTTGAATGACAGGACATTTACCGAATACATGCCTTTATGTGAACTTCAAAAAGGACTACAAAAAGGAGATATCGTTGAAGTAATGTTTCATTGAATTACTTTTTTGGTGACTTTGTTTAAACGAAACCTTTTATTTCAGGGGGTCCTACGAATAAATCCTCGCAATTATACGGACGCCTACATAAGCGCACCGGTAATCTTCGGTATTCTCAACACCTTTTACTAATTTTAATGTTTTGAGTTAAACCTTTGACCAACTGGTGACTTGTTTTTATTTTCATAATTACTAGTACAGTATTATCTTGTTTTTGTTTTAATTAATAAATATACTCACAGTTTGTCATAAGTTATTCAATCATTGATTTTTAGTTTTTTTATATACAATATTTTAACGAATGAGGAAAAATCAATTCATATATAGAGTGCAGTATTTACTAATAGCGACAGTATTACAACCAATTGTTTTATGATAAATTTAGCCTTTATAAATATAGAACCGGTATAACTTACTGTACAATATATTCAATTTTATGTCTATTCTCTACAAATATACTCATTCTTTAAAAGATTGTGTTTTACTTTTGATTTCTATGAACTTATATTTTCTATGAACTTATATTTTCTATGAACTTATATTTTCTATGAACTTATATTTTCTATGAACTTATATTTTCTATGAACTTATCTTTTCTATGAACTTATATTTTGACATTTTATTTGATTGTCTGATAACTAACTTGAAATGAACTGTATTGTGGAAAGGGGGGCGGAATCGACATATACGTTGGAGGAACGACTGATCGCAACAGAGCTCTCAATGGGGATAAAGTGGCCGTTCGTATAAAGCCATCCCAAGAATGGAAGGTTAGCTTCAAATATAAACATGGCATTCAATATCATATCTAACACTTGAATGCGTCACCGATTAGGTCTTATTGGACACCATTCGCATCCATTGGGATGAATGGTGCGTAGACTTTGAAAGATTGCTTGGGATTCGCAATGAATCGGATGGAACGGACGCTACCCATGAGTCCAGTGCTCACAGCTCTCACGATATCGAGACCATTGATGAAAGCGACGAATATTGTGATAGAATCACTTTAAACAGTGATTCAAATAATGAGTACAACACTACTAAAAACACAACTAAAACCCAAACTAATGCTCAAAGTTGTGACACAAACGCAAAAACTTCCCAAAAGAGAAGGCGTTCGCGAAAAAAGAAGAATAAGAGTGGAAGTGATGAGAAAAATGATGTGAAATCTTCTGAATGTGAAAAGACATCTCTTTTGAAACCAGAAGTTGTGAATTCATTGATAATCGCTAAGAAAAGCCAAAGACATTCAAGAATTTGTGACGAATTGAGTGCAACATTGGAAAGAATCGGTGACTTAAAGATAGAATATTTATTAAAATTGGAGTTTTGGGATAAATTCATACAAAGGACGGGTCGAGTGGTGGCCATCAGTGAATACATTCACTCCCGCACTGCTGGCGGACGTCTCAGTCATATGAAGGAGAAGAACCAGAATTGGGCGCTATTTATCCCAAACGACTCGCGCATACCTCGTATGCGAATCGCGATGAATACCTGTCCGCCAGAC